CAAGTACACACTACTCTATACACAAGTACACAGTACTCTATACACAAGTACACAGTACTCTATACACAAGTACACAGTACTCTATACACAAGTACACAGTACACAGTACTCTATACACAAGTACACAGTACACACTACTCTATACACAAGTACACACTACTCTATACACAAGTACACACTACTCTATACACAAGTACACAGTACTCTATACACAAGTACACAGTACTCTATACACAAGTACACAGTACTCTATACACAAGTACACACTACTCTATACACAAGTACACACTACTCTATACACAAGTACACACTACTCTATACACAAGTACACACTACTCTATACACAAGTACACACTACTCTATACACAAGTACACACTACTCTATACACAAGTACACACTACTCTATACACAAGTACACAGTACTCTATACACAAGTACACAGTACTCTATACACAAGTACACAGTACTCTATACACAAGTACACAGTACTCTATACACAAGTACACAGTACTCTATACACAAGTACACACTACTCCACTATACACAAGTACACACTACTCTATACACAAGTACACACTACTCTATACACAAGTACACACTACTCTATACACAAGTACACACTACTCTATACACAAGTACACACTACTCTATACACAAGTACACACTACTCTATACACAAGTACACAGTACTCTATACACAGTGTTGGGAAGGTGACTTTTAAAATGTAATCCCCTACAGATTACAGATTACATACCCCAAAATGTAGTTTGTAACGTAATCCATTAAATTACTTAAAGTGAGTAACGTAATCAGAATACTTTGGATTACTTGATTTTGTCATGCTTTTTAGTTTAGTTCTGGATTTAGTCCTGGTTTTGTCCTAGTTTAATTCTGGTTTAGTCCTGGTTTAGACCTAGTTTAGTCCTAGTTTAGGTCCTGGTTTAGTTCTAGTTTAGTCCTCGTTTTAGTCCTGGTTTAGCCCAAAATGTGAAAACAGAAAATTACTGCCATGTAATCCATTTATTTCAACAAAGTAACTGTAATCCAATTACCACTCACTGAAACAGTAACTGTAACCGAATACAGTTACTCATACTTTGTACTCTGATTATGTAACTCCGGTACATGTAATCTGTTACTCCCCAAGTACACAGTACTCTGTACACATTACTCTATCTGTTATATATACTGTAGATGTAAAGGTACACAGTTTAATCTATACAGATATGGGTCCATTAAATCTCAGTCTGAGAAGAGCAGCACAAACCAGTTCTTCAGATCCTTCATTACGCTGCATTACCCGGACATATAAAGGCAGTGGGGCTTTTCTGTCGCCTCTCTCCCTCTCTCCTCTTCCTCTTCCTCTTCCTCAGTGCTGTAGAAGAGGAAGGGGAGAGCCTAAAAGCAGCAATTACGCCCACTCAGACTCAGCGCGAGGCTTCACAAGAGCTCAAACTTCACTTCTCATTTAAAAGGAGAAAGTAAAAAGTAGTTTGGAGGGAGCTGCGGCGCAGAGAGACAGAGCAGAGGATTGGAACAGAGGGTTTATTAAGGGAGGAAGAGGGAGAGGAGTCGAACCGGTTCTCGATTCTCATCCCTAATCCTGACCAAGCCTGGATCTGCGTCTGAGGACTGGTCCCTCGGGCGCTGCTCCTGACAGACCGACAGGATCTGTAAAGAGAAACTCAACTTCTGGTGCGGCTAAATAACAAAACAGGAGTCTGGAGTCTGGAGTCTGGTCTGGAGGTGTAAGAACAGGAGAATGGCTTCAAACTTCGCCCCCGCAGACCAACGTTGGTATCAGAAACATTGACTTATATTTATTTTTGTTAATTATTTAGTCATTTTGCAGCGTTACGAAACAAAAACAAAACATAGACCAAAACTACTGTACATGGATCGTGACAGAAAGATGCCAGTTTAGATTTGTTTTTTTTGTTCATTTACAGTTGTACAAAATAAACCACAATGAGAGTGAAAGAATTTAAGGATATAAGGATAAGGATCTGTATTTAGCCCTAAAAGTCTGATCAATTGTACAGATGTAGGTGCCATAAATTCACGGAAAATTCACTTTAGGTCATGAAAAACAATTAATATCATTTTAAATTTCACCCTAAATAAGACAAGTTTTCAAAGTGTCAATTCATTTCTGCAGAATGTGTCTCCTGGGGTTAAGACTTTCATATATTGTAATATCTCAAACTCAACGTGAAGAACAGACTGTGATCCTGTAGATAAATATAAAATGTTCTGAACCCCGCTGACGTTCTCACCCAGAGTAATCCCAGATAACCCTCCTGACCCCGTGTCTCTCTCTCTCTGTGTGCCTCAGCTGCTGGAGGAGTGCTGCCTGTGCCCCAGCAGCAGCGTGACCATCGCCGGGGCCCGAGTGGGACTGGCCCCCGCCCTGGACGACACCGCTCACCTGTGGAACATCGCGCCGGACGGGGTCATCGCCTACAGCGCCTCGCCCAACCTCGTGCTCGAAGTCAAGGGTAAGACTGAACACACGCTCCCCCCGAACTGGTGCTGAGGTCAAGGGGGAAAAAAAAAACACCTGAAATACTGATCAGGTTCTTACTGTAGCAGAGATGGAGACAGTGAGTGTGTATACATGCACATCAATAACCCGGTTATTAGCCATATCCCGTTTCTGTCAGTATTCGTGTTACTGTGTTTACATGCGCACTGAGAAACCGGGACACTCATATCCGCGTGTACATGATCAAATGGAGTATCCCGGTTTCTTGACATAATCTTACAAATGCGCAGGCGCAAAAATTAACTTAAATCAATTTCATAAACCAGGAAAAATACAAACCGTGAGCTCCTTTAGCATAAGAAGCTAAGGAGCTACGAGATCTCCCACAATCCACTGTGCAGATTCTTCATTAAAATCTTCTGCATAAATAAACTCAACTTTACAACATATAAACCATAAACACTATAGACACATCAGCCCGTTTGATCAGATCATTCAGCTGTGATCACATTTGTTTACGTTTTACAGAAACGAAACTTAAGACCGTTTGGCTAATTAGCATAAACTGTTAGCGGCGATAAAAACAACTCGCTCCTTGTGCCGCTGATGCGATCAGTTTCTTTTGGACTAAATGACACGACTCTGTGGATTATGTGTGTTATTTCTGTGACAGAAGAGGCGCTAATGATGGTAAGTGTGTTCTGTGTGTGTGTTGTACAGGAGATAGTTCATGTTTTAGCTTTTCAGCGTCACACGAGTGCAGATTGTACGAGTGCAGGTTTAGCGCAGCTCTTTATTTTACAGTCATTTCACTCATTTGGTCACTTTATTTATGTTGGTCAATTTATTTATGTCACTACTGTTGTGGTGAAAGGCTGGAAAGTGTCTTTTGGATGCATGCGACTCAACTTTATGTTGCAGTAACCGGGATACTGCGTTTACATGCCACAAGTAACCCGGTTACTATCGGAATAACCCAGCTACAGTAACCCGTTTTTCTAATAACCGGGATACTGCCATAACCGGGTTACTGAAACCGGGTTACTGCGTATACATGCACCATCAAGAAACCGGGATACTCAAAAAACCCGATCATAACCGGGTTATTGATGTGCATGTGTACGCACTCAGTGTGTGGACTAAAGACGCACATTTGTACATTTGTTTACATCTGTAGAAGTTGCCTCTGATGACAAGTCTGTAGAACGGGGCAAAAACCTGTCGCTCTTGAGCTACCAGGATTTCTGAATTACACGTACTGTCCTGAATAAGAAAAATGTGGATGCCTGACTTTGTACACTAATACATGGCAAAGGAAAAATTCAATTTGTCAACTGGACTAAAGTTTGGTCGAATGTTTGGTTGGTTGAGCTGCGAAATGTATTCGACCCAAAAACTTTTGTCTAGTTGACAAATTGAATTTCTCCTTTGCCATGGATTCTACCTCGCCAGGCTGGTGCCACCTAGTCTGATTCATCAGCCGGTTTCACTTCGTAGAAACCGTGTGACCTCGCAGCATTAGGATTCGTTCTCTCGACGGTAGGCGGGGACTTTTTATCAAATAACCAATCGCTGCTGTTTGGTTGTGACGTATGTAATGTGTCACTAACAGGGTGTATTAAACTTTTCCCAAATCCCGTAGGAAGAAGGACAATAACGTCTTTCCCCTTGAAAAAATTCACCAAACATTTTCTTTGTTCCGGCTTTAAATCCTCGATCTCAGGAATTGTTGACAACACAGAATGTACGACTCTTCACTGATTGGCTGGTGCCCGAACTCGCACTTCCGGGGTTCTTACAAACTGTCTAGTGTATTCCGATTCCTGACCTAGTCGCTGCACAGAAATGAATTTAATTTCTCTCTGGGAATAAACTAGACCAGTAGTTACCAACCTTTTTTGCACCACGGAGCGGTTTTATATCAGACAATATTTCGCAGACCGGAGGGAGTTGGGGGGTGGGGGGACTGTGGATGGGAGGATCCAGCGGCATGGTTAAGTCCTGGCTAAATTATGTCTTAGTCCTGGTTTAGTCCTGGTTTTAGTCCTGTTTTAGACCTGTTTTAGTCCTGGTTTAGTCCTGGTTTTAGTCCTGGTTTAGTCCTGGTTTTAGTCCTGTTTTAGACCTGTTTTAGTCCTGGTTTAGTCCTGGTTTAGACCTGGTTTAGACCTGGTTTAGTCCTGGTTTAGTCCTGTTTTAGACCTTTTTTAGTCCTGGTTTAGTCCTGGTTTTAGTCCTGTTTTAGACCTGTTTTAGTCCTGGTTTAGTCCTGGTTTTAGTCCTGTTTTAGACCTGTTTTAGTCCTGGTTTAGTCCTGGTTTAGACCTGGTTTAGACCTGGTTTAGTCCTGGTTTAGTCCTGTTTTAGACCTGTTTTAGTCCTGGTTTAGTCCTGTTTTAGTCCTGTTTTAGACCTGTTTTAGTCCTGGTTTAGTCTGGTTTTAGTCCTGTTTTAGACCTGTTTTAGTCCTGGTTTTAGTCCTGTTTTAGACCTGTTTTAGTCCTGTTTAGTCCTGGTTTTAGTCCTGTTTTTAGACCTGTTTTAGTCCTGGTTTAGTCCTGGTTTTAGTCCTGTTTTAGACCTGTTTAGTCCTGGTTTAGTCCTGGTTTAGACCTGGTTTAGACCTGGTTTAGTCCTGGTTTAGTCCTGTTTTAGACTTTTTAGTCCTGGTTTAGTCCTGGTTTTAGTCCTGTTTTAGACCTGTTTTAGTCCTGGTTTAGTCCTGGTTTAGTCCTGGTTTAGTCCTGTTTTAGACCTGTTTTAGTCCTGGTTTAGACCTAGTTTAGTCCTGGTTTTAGTCCTGTTTTAGACCTGTTTTAGTCCTGGTTTAGACCTGTTTAGTCCTGGTTTAGTCCTGGTTTAGACCTGTTTTAGTCCTGGTTTAGACCTGTTTTAGTCCTGGTTTAGTCCTGGTTTAGTCCTGTTTTAGTCCTGGTTTACCTGTTTAGACCTGTTTTAGTCCTGGTTTACCTGTTTAGTCCCGGTTTAGTCCTGGTTTAGACCTGGTTTAGACCTAGTTTAGTTCTGGTTTAGTGGAGCAACTCGTGCCATGTAAATGAGCAGAGACAGTTTGCGCGACGTACGGGAGGGGGTTTGCACTTTCGTGGCCCGGGGGTTGTGGACCTCTGCACTAGACGATTTACAAGAACCTCAGAAGTTGTAGCTCGCGCACCGACCAATCAGCTGTGAGCTGTGAACCCGTGACGTCAAACTCGTCGCACCTGTCTGTGTCCCTTTTGTGGACCAGCACAACAGTAAACAAAGCGTCAAGATGGATGTAGACGAAGACAGACATTCTGTGTTGGCGACGATTCCCAAGGTCGAGGATTTAAGGTCGGAACAAAGAGAATGTTTGGTGAATTTTATCAAGGGGAAAGACGTTACCTTATTACATATGTCAGGACCAAATAGCAGCGATTGGTTAAAAATAAAAAATGTACCTGCCCACCATCGAGCGAACAAATCCTAATGCTGCGATTTCTACAAAGTGAAACCGTCTGATGAATCAGGATAGATTCTCCCTGGACGACTGGGGGATTTTACACACTAATAAATGGACAATGGTTTATGTTTTATATACATCTAACTGGACTTCATTAAAGGTTCGCCGTGACACTTAAATATACTCTTTTTCTTGTGACTGTCAAAACTGGGAGTTGTCCGGCAGTTTCGTTTTGTAAAAGTAGCTCAGCGGAGGAAAAAGGTCAGAGTTTCCTGGCGTAGGTGGATTTACTGTGAGCGTTTTGTCCAACAGCAGCGGTTTCCTCGTGTGTCGACTCTTAGGTCATGTTCATACAGCGTCACTTTGAAATTCTCATTAAATCGGTGCAGTAGTGGGAGAGTTTACAGCGTGTTTATTAAACTGGAGCTTATTTACCACATTTTGGTGCATTTTAACAGGTTGTCAAACTGAGCCCCCCCAGAGGAGATACAGGGAATCTTATTAATGTCACTTTATTCATTAACTTCACTCAAGCTTAGCCCAGATGAGCAAAAGTGACTTTGCCAACAGCAGTTTCATCAGTTTAAAACCAGTCAATTACACTGCATATCCCCAATGCATTTTATTTTCAGTACAAGAATAAGATCACAAGTGAATGAAACTGCTTTTATGTGTATGAGATGGGGCTGGACTGGGGCTGTTGTGGTTAGGGTTTTCTCCTGTGGTGTGGCATGTGCAGATGATATCACACCCCTTCACCCCACATCCCCCAGACTTATAATATTTCCAGCGGCACCAAAAACTCTCTCTGATGAAGCGCTTGTTGCAGATGCACATGTACCTTGGCCGTCACACATGTGTAGCGGGAGAAGTAACATTTGGCTTTGGAACAAAGCTGCATCTCTCCATCTCTCACTGTGGCAGTTCAGGTCAGAGTCCTGCACCAGGTCGGGTCAGAATCCTGCACCAGGCCGGGTACCCGTGGACATAAGAGAACCCCGAGCAAGTGTCTGCAAAGCACGATCGGGCGACAGCTGCGTTTACCTCCATGCAGCACCGAGCTCTGCTCCGGTCCTTTCGCCTGCGGTCACCCGATGGTCTACATGGGCACACCTTAGTCCTGGGTTAGTCCTGGGTTAGGGTTAGTCCTGGGTTAGTCCTGGGTTAGTCCAGGGTTAGTCCCTGGGTTAGTCCTGGGTTAGTCCTGGGTTAGTCCAGGGTTAGTCCAGGGTTAGTCCTGGGTTAGTCCAGGGTTAGTCCAGGGTTAGTCCAGGGTTAGTCCAGGGTTAGTCCAGAGTTTCCCTGGGTTATCACGGGAATGGGCGTTAACGGGTGGAATGTTAACAGGTCTGGGCAGGTGCGGGTCTCTAAAAATGGACCCGTGCAGGACTCTGGGTTGGGTCACATTGGTCACGTGTGGTGATCGCGGTGGCCCAACGTGCACCTCTTGTACCGCGGTGATTCATTTTTGCGGTTATTGCAACAGCCCTAGATGGACTAGATCGAATTTTCAAGAGACAAGACACAAGACGAGACAGGATTTCGAAATAATTTACAATAATCTGATCCAT